CCAGCCTGTATTTGTGCTTGGGATTTCCCGGATTCATGTGCAGGACCTTGCACTCATATCATGAGTTTCATTTCAAATCTAGGTATTTAGAAATGCTATGCATATTCCTGTGTTATGTTCTCTTCCCAGACATCTGACAAATGCCTACTGTTGCTCCCAGTGAAGTCAATACTTTTCCCGTTTACTTCAGCAAGAGAAAGACTTGATCCTAACTTTATCTATAGTGTATAATATGCTTTGGACAGTTTCCTTTATTTTCAGAACAAAAATGCAATTTCACACTGAATAGGAAAGCCATTCTGTGGCTGCTTGGTATCCCTATAGCTATATCAGTTTCAGCAGTGATGTTGATAGCTTCCACTCACTACTCACTTTCTGTCGCCTCTGTGTTCCACAGAAGTATGAACAAGAACTGTTCAAATTGGCTTTGCCTTGTTTGAGCGCAGTTGCAGGGGCCTTACCTCCAGACTATATGGAATCCAATTATGTCAATATGATGGAAAAGCAATCTTCAATGGATTCAGATGGGAATTTTAATCCTCAACCTGTTGATACATCAAAGTAAGGAATTATTCTGCTGCAACTAGGGCTTGGTTTTTTTTTTTCACCATGAGTACGTAAAAGAGGGGTGGAATCTGTTGTTGGGTATGATGTGAACTTGCAGCTTTTATTCTCTTCTGAACGCTTATCTTCCAGATAAAATGGAGACCTTAACTTTATGTTTTTATTTCTTATTTATGTATTCATTTAAAATCATATAAAGCAATAAATATCCAATTACATAACTAATTTCTTGGCCAACGTAGAATGTTTTTACTGCATTTTCAGCCTGAAGATAGAACTGTCCAGTTACCTTTGTATGTCTGCTGTAAACAAACCGGCATGTTTTTAGGAGCAGAAGAAGTAGACTAGTCTACCTCGTCCCTGTCATTGCTAACATGTGCCAAGACACTAATTCCAGTGTGTGTGAAAGACAGTGTACCTACAGAAAATGCTGATGATCGTGCATTCATATAATCTCTTTTCACTATGAATAATGGGGAATTGGGCAGAAGGATCTTCATTTTCTCTTCATTTTCTCTGTTAAGTACATTAGCTGGACAAAACACATGTCTGAATGGGATTTTTGTGCCCTGATTTTTTTACTACAGCCAGCACCCCATTCTGCTTTGTATAGAATAGTCTTACAGCACTATATCTTGAAAAATGCCACTTGGAAGACATTTGCTTCAATTGCCTTTGTGAGCTTTCTGTCTGTAGTAACATTCATAATGCAGAATGCTGTCAGCAGATTGTTACCTTTGTTACGGCATGCTTGTACATGTATGCACATCAAAATATGGCAGTAAAAGACATAATCTAGACTGGAATATAGAAATCACATCAGTGACCATTACAATTCATTAGTCTAAGATGTATTTAAGATATATGAAGCTTTAACAAAATTTAGTAAAGATATTATACTGTCATTTAACTAGTTGAAGATTACTTTATCTGGTGTCATTTCCAAGGAAAATTGTAGATAGCCAGAATATATTTGAAAAATGTTACTTAACATACTCAGAAAATGTTACTTAACATTACCTAAGACAAGGAAAGCACTACTTTTATCAGTGTCACTTCCAACCTATCCTATGTTCTTTTAAGATGCAAAACCTGCATCATATTGCTTACTAGTCCTGGACCTATTTATAGGAAGCTATAGATAATAGGACCTTATCGTACTTGTCAATGTATTGCATTTCTGAAATGATTCAAAGTGTTATACCATTAGTAGAGTTCCTCTTGAAATACACACTTCCAAACAATAAAAAAACTGATGACCATGCTGGATGAATATTTGCTGGCTTTTGTGTGTGGTTAGGCTCTTGCAAACTGTTCGTCTGACATAATTTTCTTTTACTTTTCTGCTTTTTCCCACTCTATGACTGAAGACTAAAAACCAGCTTTGCAGTAGATGGCACTGTAACGCTTTTGCTGCCAAAATTCTTTGTCTTAGGAGGGAAGATTTTTGTGTTTCATAACTGATCAAGAAGCAATTATTCCCTTTCATTTGTAGGAATGCAGATGCAGAAAAGTACTGATATTTGATAAATTATTTTTGGAAGAGGATTCTGTCACTAGTGCTTGTTTGACAGTTAAGGATAGCTGCTTTTCCTTTCCTGCTTAAGAAACCTTAACTTCTGCACTGTCTTGTACACCTGTTGGAAGGCTAATGTATTTTTTTTTCTATTTCTAATAAATATTTTAATATTTTTAATATTCACTGGGTTGTTGGAAAATAAAGCCTTGAGCATATAACTTTTGAGTTGTTGTAAGTTATAGTGCTTCAAGTGTATAATAGAATTTATAGGAATACATAAAATAGATTATGTGTTTCAAAAGGGACCGTTAGCACACTTAGTTTATCACTGACATCTGCAATAAGTTACCACCGTATTTCTGAAACGTCATAGTTATATCTTTAATCTTAAGAAAGTGAATGTTAGTAATAGAAATAGGTGACAAAAAGCATGAGTGCTTGATATCATTATTGATTTTTCCCTGTACATGCATGTCGAAGAAGTAAAATTCCTACAACAGCTGTGGTTCTCATTCAGTGCCCATTAAATAACTCAGATTTAACTGGATTTAACTGGGGATTGGAGCAAACTGTATGTGAGGAAACAGAGCACAGTAAGATGCTTTGAATGAATGTATGCACTACTAATTATTTATTTGAAAATTTTCTTCAAAACAAAAGCATTCACATTTTAGCATGTGTGATCTAACGGATATTTTTCTCTTCACTTTCAGCATAACAATCCCTGAAAAGCTAGAATATTTCATTAACAAATATGCAGAACACTCTCATGACAAATGGTCAATGGAAAAGGTAAAATCTATATTCCTGTTAAAGCAAAATCAGAATTTTTATTTGAATCCATTCAATCTTTAAAAAATTTTACTCTGAATATTATTATTTTTCATAATGCTACAAGTTGGTACACAGCTAAGATATAAGCCTATATGTTCTTGAAATACGTATAGGGGGAAAATTCTGTAAGTGCACATGAGTATTTCAAAATAATGTTTCATCATTTCATTATTTTTTATTGTTGACTTTTGAGTAAATATACTTGCTAGCTAAGAGTTTTATTGATTTGAAATTTCAACTTTTTTAACCAAAAACCTCTTTAGGCTTTTTAATCCCTTGTGCAGTTTGTGTGTCCAGTATTAGAAACGGTTCATCAACTGTAGCACAGTGTTCTGCTCTATGTAAATATTTAAAAGAAAAATGTATTGAAATGTTAGCTTTATGTAATCATTAATTTTCAGAAAGATGGCATGCTACATAATTCATTTCATTAAGTGTATATAACATAAATGTTGATTGAGAAAATGCTGAGAAAATAGTAGAAAAGAAATTTTAAGAGAAGAGCTTGCAGAAGCATTGTTGAGTTCCTTTGTACGAATAAAACCAGAATTCTTCATAATTTTTTGCTTTTCCCCATTTTTTCCTCTCTTATTGCTTCTGTTTTCAGTTTGCCAATGGATGGACATATGGTGAAATGTATTCTGAATCTGCAAAAGTGCAACCATTAATGAAACAATATAAATTACTATCTGAAAAGGTAAAGAATTTGTTCATTCTTGATCCAGGGTGATTGAAAGATCGCTTCATTCACTATGAAAATATCACCTTGCGTTTACATCACCTTTTAAAAAAATTATTTAGTGTGTATCAGCTAACATGTGATTGTTGCCTTAAAATCTCAAAGAGATAGAAGGGTTTTATTGTACAACAAATAGGCCACTCAACCTATTTTCTCTCATGGCTGAATTCACATAGCATAACTTAGGGAGAAACAGAAGTGTCGTATTGCCAGTATATTTTTATGGTAATTTTTTTTGCCTACTTGCTTAGTGAAGACTTAGGTTTAGACTTTATCTGGTTGCCAGCAGAAGGCCACGAAGATAATTAGAAGGCTGGACAACTTGATAAATGAAGCAAGGCTGAAGGAACTGGGTTTGTTCAGCTTCAAGAAGGGACAGCTGACAGGGATATAATCTTGGTTTCACATTACCTAAATGCTAGTTATAGAGAGGATGGATACGTTCTCTTCTCAGGGATGTACAGTGGCAGGACAAGAGGCAATGGGTGTAAGTTGCTTCAGCAGAAATGCTTTCTGGAAATCCTTCTTGTCTTGACGACTTAAACATTGGAATAAGTTGTCCAGAGAAGTGGTGAAATCACCTGCACTGCAAATATCCAAGGCATGACACGGCAAGCCCTAGATAACCTAATCTTGAAAACCGTTGACAGCCAGTTAAGTTAGCTTATCTGACCTCAACAGAAGGCTGAGCCAGATGATGTCCAGAGGTTCATTCCAACATAGATTTTTTTTATGATTCTATGATTATGTGGGGGTTTTCTTCGTGTAGCAGACAAAACACTCCTGACAATTACAGCTCCGCTTTTGAGTTCCTATGTGAGCATGCCATTAACATGGTTATCCCTGTGATCATCAGCTTCCTGCAGGACCAGAATTCTTCTGCTCACCTCTGAAATGATAAATAAACTTTTTAATATCTTACATGATTTATTTGCTTCTTCTGTGATTCTTATATGATTTATTTGCTTCTTTGCAGTATCCCTGGGTTGTAAGGACTGATTTCAGTACCTTTCTTGCGTCTAGATAACCAGGCAAAAGCCCAATACTTAGTTATTTGCTCTGTATAGCTACATAATAAGGCATTTATTGCATGTGCATCCTTCTAGGAGAAAGAAATTTATCGATGGCCAATCAAAGAATCACTAAAAACTATGCTGGCATGGGGATGGCGAATTGAAAGAACACGGGAGGGAGATTCCATGGCACTGTATAATCGGACGCGTCGCATATCTCAAACCAGTCAAGTGAGCCATTTTATTAAAAACTTATTTTAAAAAAAGGCATGCAAAATCTGCTTTCCAATCCTTGATTTTACAAGTGATTAAATAAACCCATAGCATAAAAGTATGTGAAAGCATTTTTCACAAGCAGTTGTACAGCTCTGAAGATTGGTTTGGATTTCTGTTCACCAAAGCTCGAACTTTCTTTC